TGATAACAAAAGTTTTGTTGAAAAAATAATGTTACTAAAATAGGATTTCTTAGAAGAGTATTGCTATTTTTAACCGGTGTGATTCCCCATTATAGAATAAATATCGATATATTATTGCGCTTTGCAAAAATGTGTGACCTCTGCAGATCATTATGTCATGTAAAATCACGGGAAATCAGGTGATTTTTCAATTCTAAGAGAATTTTACTGATTTCCAATATAAAGATGCGTTAAAAATAGTTTCAATAAACTGATTACTAATCAATTCGTAAAGTCAAAATTATGTATCAATATAAAATATTACAATGCTTTAAATCTTCGAAATATTTACTTTGATACTGATACGAATTTTATAAAATATGCCTCCTGCGTATAGTAAAGACTTGAAGTGGCGTATTATTTATCTACGTTATGATGGCTATTCGTTATTACAAATTTCGAACCTTCTTTATATTAGCCAAGGTTTGGTAAAAAAAGTGCTACGGTTATATAAAAAATGGGGAACTGTGATCAATCCTTGGCAACAAATGCGTGGACATCATAAAACTTTTAATCAAAGTGACATGAATGTAAGTGTAAAGGTTTTTATTAAACATATATTACTGTATTTATGTTAATAACTATAATTTTTTTATTACATGGTAGATATTATGAAATATTATTCAAGAAAATGTGAACTTGTATCTTGATGAAATTGTTTCGCAAATAGAAATTCGGTGTGGCAAAAATGTCTCAATTTTTACTGTGTGGCGCTTTTTGGCTTACTGTGGAATAATACAGAAAAAGGTATTTTTTTTTAATAAGACATATAAATTAATTATATAAATATCATTCTAATATAAATTATTTGATTTTTAACTGCATAAAGCAGCAAAAGAACGTAATGAGCTACTTCGCAGTGCCTTTATGGCATGTATAGAATCTAAATACAAAAGTAATCAATTAGTCTTTCTAGATGAATCATCTAAAGATGAATGAACTATGTCTTGTGGATATGATTATTCTGAAATAAATTCAAGAGCTGTTAAAAAAGTAGTATTTCTTCATGGTAAACGTTATACAATTTTACCTGCATTTACTTTAGATGGCATTATTGCAGTTGATATTATAGAGAGTAGTTATACAAAAACAAAATTCAAAGAATTTGTAATTTCTCAAGTGGTATGAAATATAATTATTGTATATATTTTTTAAAATTAATAATAAAGCAAGTTTTTATTTTTAGCTGCCTCAAATAAACACATTTCCACATAAAAGAAATGTTTTAATACTTGACAATGCAAGAATTCATCATGATAATGGATTAATTAATTATTTAAATGCATTCAGTATATATATTAAATTTCTTCCTCCCTATTCACCTGATCTAAACCCAATAGAACTAGCCTTTTCATATTAAAAAGTTTTTTAAAAAGACATTACTACTTTGTAAAAAGCTGCCCAGATCCATATTATCCTTTATTAGTTGCATGTTCACAAATTGACCTATCACTATCTAGTAATTTTTTTAATATGATGAGCTATAAGTAAATGTTTTTTAAATTGATAATGTATTATGAGATGGTATAAAAGCTATATCATATTTTGCTGCATATTCACGTAAAATTTGCTATGCACTAATAGTATCAACATCATATTTTTCAAAGTGTTCATCTGATAATTTGGATAATAATCATACAAAAATTTTTTGTTGTTCAAATTTAAATAAAAATTTCTAATAATAATCTTCAGTACCTTCATATTCATCAACATGTTTTAAGAAATTCTTCATTGTAGGTAATATCATTCCATTAGTTGGTTGAAAAGCTGATTGAATAGATGTATTAAAAGACGATCCATAAATTTGTGAAGAAAAATATGATGAAAATAAATTAGGAAATAAAGATAGAAAATAAAATTGTCCTGGAAACATTGGTTGCTATATAAAATTAGGCTGTTGAATTAAATTAGTCTGTTGTGATAATGATAATATTTGATTTCTTGTTTTTGAAGGATGTTTATATGCAAATAAAGGATGAGTAGGTGGTTTTGTTGGTGATGCCATCGCCTTGCTCTAAATATTTAATATATAAATAAATATATATTATGTTTACTATAAAATTTATAAAATTACTTACAATTTCAGATGCCCAAATTGAAAGCATTATAAATGTGATTTCAATGTGATTTTCTTTGGCCCCATCTTTATTTAGACAAGGCCGATTATGAATTGTACAATGATTTTCTTTACGAATTTCTAGAACATTTTTTGCCATTAATGTTTCCGTTGAAGATAAATTTGAAACTTTAGGAATATAATTTTTATTTTTAGGATCTATAATGGTATCAATGTCTAAATTATCATCATCAGGCTCAAGTTCCTAAATATATAAAGATTATATAAGTTAAATATATAGAAATATAATAGAATTAAAAATATTTTTTTTACTTACATTTATTTTTCGTTTTAGGCTTGAATTAATAAATGTTATAAAAAAAGCCATATTAATGTTTTTGGAAGTATATTTACGATAATCAGTCTGAAATTTTCTAAAGTATTGAGCATCCTCTAATTGAGTACCCGCCCCTGTAGCTTTTTCAGATTTGAATGCAATTTGATAATTACTTGGTTCAATTGGTTTTTTTTTCATTAAAGTTTCAATATTTGTGTGAATCTCAGAAAGCAACTCATCTACTGCAGATACTTTAGAAGTATACCACTTTGCTGGAAGCGAAATTCCATTTTCTAATTTGATAAAAATTCCATAATTATATTCATATTCAATATCCTCATCGGATAAAGAATTATCATCAGCATAATCCTCATTACTATATTCCTTTTTATAATAATTTTGTTTATTCGACTCCAATTCATACATTTCTTCGAATTCAGAAGGTTCACTCATTGAAGTAGTAAGATCATATGTTTCAATTTCTTGAAAGTTATTATTCGCAATTATGGAATTTGATGGGTTTGAATTTAATGTTTTAAGCTTCTTTGCCTTAGACGATAATCTCAATAAGGAACTATTACACCGAGAGCACAAGGAAAAACTAAAAGATTCTCTTGTACTTAGTGAGTAATTATAAAATGCTATTTTTTGACGAACATAATCTACTTGCTCTTTCACCCAATTCGGATTAAATAATCGTGTAAATGCATTTTTGACAGCTGCAGTCCGATTACCTCTATGTGGCGCATCAGATAAGTTGCAATTACATACATTTTGTTGTAAGTTAATTCCACAATATAAGCATTTTCGGCAACTAAAACATGTTCCTCTGCGATATTTTAGTTTTGTTTCTTGAACGTCAGCCATTATAACCAAGTATTAAGGAATAAAAATATGTTTGTCGAAAAAAAGCAAATATCAAAATATATAAGAGCTTTGGGAATGACGTATTTTTTACATATGATTGCTGATTGAAACTATGATTGAAAGCATAATTTAATATATCGATATCAATTTACATAAATTCTAAATATGAATTTTTTTATTAAGAATCATGGAGATTTTCCGCCATCATCACCGTGAAAATCACAGGGTCACACTTTTTTGCAAAGCGCTATAATGATATCGGTTTGCAAAAAAGTGTGACCCTGTGACAACGATAGCAGGGAAATTCGAAGATTCTAAATTTTCTATCAACCATATATTCGATCAGTGATATCTATACCAGGAACGTAGTACGAAGTACGAAGTGTATGGCTTACAGGCAAGTTGTTGTGTTCGAAATCTCGAATTCTATTGGACAGCGTGATCGTTGTATGTGCATCCTTTTTTGGTTATGCCTTTACCTGCCTTGACCAAGAACTGCGATCACGTTAAATAATTATTCAAATTTGATTAGATTGAACATTTATTATTGATCCCATGATCCAGATCGATTCAGTTTAACATCGAATACTGTACCCTGAAATTTTGTTACGTGGAAATTTGGTAAGGATATACAAGTTAAAAACTTGTATCAATCTGGAACAACGTATTGCACAAAATAAACGTAAAGGTTGCCGATCTGAAAAATCAGAACGATTATGAAAAAAGTACGTTTGTATTACAAGATTATATTTGGTTTTATATTTTATACCGATACTAACGCTAACTTTGTCAGTAATTACTAGTATTAGAGCCCGTCATCATATGGCGGGCTAAATGGTATAGAATAAACACTACAAACGAATGTTGCAAAGGCCGTTATATAATGAGACAATCAGCTATATATATGTTATTCGTTCATTTCTCAATTTATGTCAATTATTAATTGACACATTCCAATTTGAAAATGATCAGTATAGTATGGTTTTAATTTTGGTCTATAACATACTGATCTGCTCATCCGTACTACAAACGAATGTTGCAAAGGCCGTTATATAATGAGACAATCGGCTATATATATGTTATTCGTTCATTTCTCAATTTATGTCAATTATTAATTGACACATTCCAATTTGAAAATGATCAGTATAGTATGGTTTTAATTTTGGTCTATAACATACTGATCTGCTCATCCGTACCATACTCAATATAATTAGGGATGGTAACAGTCCGGTCTGGTCCAGTATGGTCTATTTTGATCCAGGTCTGGTCTGGTCTATTATGGTCTTTATTCTTAAGACTTTGTTAGTCCAGACCGGTCCGATTTGAATAATTCGGATAATTCAAATACGGATAAGTGGATGACCGATTATCCAGATTGGAACTCTAAATTTGAGTAGCATTATTTATTAGCAGGCATCCAAGCTTGTTCTATAAAACCGAACCAGTAATAAAGTTGATTTTATTGAAAAATAATACAGTAACTGCCTGACCTTTAGTTAGGGATGGATTTAGTTTGGTTCAGTATGGATGTTATGCAGTCTATTCTAAACTGATAAACCGCAGTTAGTCTTAAAGCCGATTTAAAACAGGAAAAAAATCTGCTTTCAGTTTTAAGACCAGTTAATTTTTAAAACTTTGAACTACTAAAAGTGGACTAAAGTGATCAGGTTGGACTAGACAGGACTGTTAGCATCCCTACGTTTTAATTTGCTGATAACGATTAAACCACTTCATTAATATTTTAATTCTAACCTTAGTTTGATCTCACCTTCAAAACAATTCTTAGTTATATACAGTTATATCTCTCTAAACTAAAGCTGATTAGCCGAATACTTAATAAACGTTGTGGAAGCAAAACACAAAGCTTTAAACTTTTATTAGTAAGTCGGTTTATAGACATAATGAACTTTTAAACTGAACTTTTTGAAAATTTTTACGGAGGATTAAATATAAGCAGAGTTGACTGTATTTAAACTTCTATCATTTATTGTTTAGTAGAAAATTTAAACCATAAAACATTGGGTGGCCAATATCTAATGAGATTAAAAATATGTCGAAACTCATTTATTTTGTATATAGCAGATGTTTTATCAAAAAATTATGGCATAACTTTTATCAAATAATTAATAAACTATTTTACTTAAAATTCAATTTTAGCAATTTAACAGTGAATGGATTCGTAACTTTAATAGAAGGTTTATGATTTAGTAGAGGATAGATTTGTAATTTCAACA